ATGTTGATTCAGTTCGGTTCAAAATGTAATCAATTATGGAATGAGATCAATTCATCTATAAAGCAGCTCTTTAGAACAGTGATGTCATCATCCAGCTCAGTTCAGTTCTCATCCGATAGTGTCAGTGCAGTTACATCAATAATATTGGCAAATATTAAGTTTCCCTAATTAATAAGCATTAAGCCAAAAGGCGACAGTGGCAAGGAAATCTACAGACCTAGTATAGTCTGTGAAGACACTATATTTAGTTTGAAATGAAAATGATATTTCATATTTAGTTTGAAATGAAAATGATATTTTTTGGAAAGTAATACTTTCCTCTGTTACTGTTACCTGGATGTCAATTGTTGAGCCATGAAACATTGAAAATGTGGGGGTTTTCAGCTCAGTTATGTTAGTTTTACAGTCTTGACCTATTTTTTTGACAACCTGTTAGTTGAGGAATGTTTTCTTCAAAGTTAACAGGAAGCCAGCCATCAAAAATATGGGATAATTAACTTCCAAGACCTCATATGCTGATATCACTTCCTGAAGTCAGATGACTTGAGTTTTAGCATTGTTAGTGAAAACTGTTTGTTTTTAGATGATATCAGATCAGATCATGTAGTGGTTTCCATCATGGTTTGGGTGGTTTCCATCATGGTTTCCATCTGTAACCCCAGGACAATTCTGAAAAAAGGGGAGAAAAACCTACAGTAAGTTATAAGGAACTGAGGGCAAATCATCTATCTATATTTAATGTCAAGCACTGATGACATAATTGATTCAATATCAAGCCTTCATTCTTCTCTGTTTCTCTCCTTGCGTGTAAAGCAGAGATTGGCAACAACGTGGTGCGAAATTGGAGCTATTATCATCAAAGATGATCTGGAGGGTGGAAATTGTTTGGATGACTTGATGTTTAAAAACAATTTTTTAAAGGGTGGGAATCAAATCTCTCTCATAAGGGATCTGCGGATATGATGCATGAATCACAGACATCTTGTTGTGAATCATAGATGGGAACGATTGGGATGGTGTCAGAGAGACATCAATGCCACATTTGGTTTAGTGTATGTATCCAATATATGACCTTTCAGTCTCATTGTTTTAACTACACACTCTTTAACAAGAATATTTACAAATATTAAAAATTGGGAATGGATGAAAAAAATTGATCAGTTAAAAAAAGGTCATTAAAAACTCTGCAGGAGAACCTTACAAACCAGAAACCTTATCTGATCTGAAAAGCTAATAGTATAAAATCAATAACTTTTTTAATCTCCAAAGAACCATATAGTTACTTACAATGGCACTTTAGTGCCACACAAAAATATCTAAGATTAGGAACATGAACGTCCAACAGTCGTAATATTTTAAGGAAAAAGTCAAAATTACGAGAACAAAGTTGTACAAAGTTGTAGCTTTATATTATTAGCCTATATAAAATTTACAAAATATTACGACTACAATCTTTTATTGCTACATATTTAGCAATAAAATATGTAATCTCGTAATCATAGATTTTTATATACTTTTTTTTTTGTAATATTACAACTTTGTCAATTGTATACTTTTTTCTAAAAAAATATTACAACTTCAATGTCATTTTGCTATGAATTTATTCTAGTGGGGTTTTTTTTTTTTTTTTTTTTTTTTTTTTTTCGTTGCACTAAAACACTGTTACCAACCCTATTTAGCAAGAAAATAAGATGGTTTCTTTTCTGGTCTCTCTCATACAAACATGCACCTGTACGTACTCATATCTTTCTGTTCTTGATGGCCTGACTGTGAACACATATACTGTTGCTCAGTAAGCTGTTAAGCACTCATGAAAGGGCTTTACAGGAACAATGAGGCACTGTTCCGTCTGTGGGATCTGCTGCCCTGCGAGCCCACAGAAAGACCTCTTTAGCCGGTTTGAACCCTCTCTGAACACACAGACACAAGTACAGAAAGCCTGGTCTAGAACAGAGAACATAGACTGACCCAAAGAGTTTCCGGCTCTTAAACGATGAGAAAGACTGGAAGCATGAAGACTCGTATTGTTAGATTAAATCATATCATCATTGCTTGATATTTTATAAGGATATAGACAATAATGAGAGTAATGGCTGTGAAAGGTAGGAATTACTTTAGGTCGGTTTGCACATAAGAAAAGTGCTAAAGACGTGGCCATTGACACATTAGGATGTCTTTAATTAATAAACATATAATGCCCAAAAGATCGCTAATTGTGTTGATTCAAATTTAAATATACATGAAAATATTACATGCATGATATTTCTGATGACTGGTTAAGCATGTAATAATGTTTGAAGGGTTAGTTCACCCAAAAAATGTAAGTTATATTAAAAAATACCCTGGCTTTTGAAGCCTAAAAAGCAGATCCATCCATCAAAAGTAATCCATACGACTCCAGGGGGTTAATAAAGGCCTTCTGAAGCGAAGTGATATGTTTGTTGTAATAAAAATATCCATATTTGGGCCATTCTACAGAATTGGTTCAAAGTCAGAGTTGGAAATGTCTTGAAAAAAGGGTGTCTTTTTCCACAAATTGTGTATGTATGCAAATTGTATAATATCCAACACATTTGTAGTAATTGTGCAGTTAATTATCATATTGTATTTTCAGAAAGTTTTGGAAGATTTTTCCTCTCCCCAAATTTGTCACTACCGAAACACAATAATAAATATTTTAATAAGGCGGCTTATATTGACCTATTAATATTTTGTTTACATCTACCTTGTATATATATTTGTTGCTATTTAAAAAAAAAAAAAAGTTTTCACAGATAAATCAATAACAGTTACAATTTTTACAATATTTCAAGTGTAATTTATAAGATTTGTTGTATTTTGAACCCAATCTTTCTTTGTAAAAGTTAATCATACTGATTTCAAAGTTAAGGATTCATTAGTTTGAATATACATTGAACCAAACACTATAATAACATCTCAATTGACAATTCAGTATACTTTATTTTAGACAAAACATGCATGTTTTGGTCGTGACGGCACATTTTCTGTAGTGACAGTAATGTTTTGGTAGCGACCACATCACATTACAGAATTTTAACTCGCATACTAAACCATACTAAGATACTAATGATTTGCATAACTGTACAAAATTTTAGTTTATTTCCCCCAAATAAATGATTAGGTGTTCCCTTTTGTCACTACCAAAACAATGATGAGATGTTTCGGTCATGACTGTTTCGGTAGTGACAATTTAAGTTACTTTTGAGCCTAGTTCAAAGATGATAACCAGCACATGGTTACTTAGCACAGTTCTGAACAGTTGTACACACACACAAAACTAAATTTTATGGAATTACACCCAAAAAAGTTAGCTGAATTGCAGAAAAAAGGTGTTTGGTAGTGACGTCCCTTAAAGTTACACACAGATTTTCAGACTTTTGAACACATTTCCCTCAAAATGATGGTACCTATCTATAATGAAAGAGAGAGAGAGGCACACAATAATATTTCCCGATCAAAAATGTAGGGGTGTGGTTAAAATCAGTCTCAGCCAATGGACTAAAACACACACTGTTTTGGTAGTGACATGAAAATGCAGGACACATTTTTTTACATAAAGTTTCATGATTTAAAAATTAAATATAAAATAAATGTTGTTTTTTTTACTTTACTTTTTAAAAGAAATCAAAAAGATATTTTTTAAAACAACAATGGAAAAAATTGAAAAAAAATATTTCAATATCATTTTCACAAGTTTAAATGTAGGGGGTTAGGGTCGGGACAGCCACCTCCCAATTGAAAGTACCCAATATATGATGATTTTATATATATTAAGCTTACTTATATTTTAAATATTATTGTGGTATTCAATAGATAATAGAAGGATCTTAGTAAACATCTAAAACTTGAATACTTAAATGCTTTTTAAATGTGTTTTGTGGTTGTCGGACAGCAGTTTGCACCAATTCTGTAGAATGGCCCATTTATAACTTTATAACCTATAATCACTGGCTTCCGGTAACAGCCGTACGCGAGTCTAGTTCCGGCAGAAGCGTGACCTCTGACCCGAGGCATGACGTAATGACAAACGCGGAAGCGCAGAGGATAGAGCAAAACAAAACACCAGTCATGAATTAGAAGTCTAAAACGAGAATTTTTTAAGAGAAATGTTGGAGGAGCTTGAGTTTGTTGCCTAGCCCTGTTTGAACCACGAGAGGCGTCTACTCTCACCTAAGCTTATGTACTCCTACATCTGTTATTGGAAGCCAGTCATTATAGTTTATAAAGTTATAAATATGGATATTTTTCTTACAAAAATGCATCACTTCACTTCAGAAGGCCTTCCATTATAAAGCTTGGAAGAGCCAGGATATTTTTTAATATAACTCTGATTGAGTTCGGCTAAAAGAAGAAAGTCATATACACCTAGGATGGCTTAAGAGTGAGTAAATTATAGGATCATTTTCATTTTTGGGTGAACTATCCCTTAAAGAAAGTTAATATAAAGTGTACAAGTTTTTGTAAACAACTCAGCAGATTAAACCTAACAAAAGCTATGCCTTTTTTTTCCTTTGCTTTCATCTGCATAATCTGACATATGTGTTGTCGTATATCCAGGTTTTTCATTAAATCTAAATAAAAAAGAAATAGCATGTGGCACACTCCCTGCAGTTAAAGCCTCCAGTTTTTATAATATAATGTTTTGGCTTGAGTTCCAGATCTTAATGCGCTGATATTAAAGGCAGTATTTTTAGATCTTTACCTCAGGAGACACTTTAGATTGTTGTAAAATCTTGTCTGCAGGAATCACTTGACGGGTGTTGATGAATGTTGATCACGTTCATGGCCTCAGGGTGGAGGATTGCACTTGATATTTACACGAACTTGGAACAAAACTGATAAAACCAAAAACCATACATTATTGAACCAAAGCAAAATGTGAATGACCATTATAGTGCAAATTGCAGAGATAAAATGTCATATCTTTCAGGTGCCAAACTAAACAAAGAGAAAGATAATCGGTGCATCTAGGTTTACCTGAATACAGTTTTAGTGTGGATCTCCATGGAGAACTAAGAGGAAAGCCATCTGTTTAACAGCAGCCACTAAAGCTAGCAGTGATTATTACCGCTGCACAGAGACACAACGCCCCCTAGTGTTCATATATGCGCACTGCAACACACTGTGAAATAAGATTACAGCTAGTTTTCATTTACGTCACATCACAATTACTAAGAGCCTCAAAAATCTTTTGAGACAGCTAAAGTCTATTGATTTGGGTGAAAAAGATTCCAATCACAGTTTCTGCAGCATAAAGTAATAAATTATTATTAAAATATACAATAATAAATGTAATACAATACAAATGTATACAAAAAAGTATACTGTAATATAATAAAAATATAATTTTATAGAATCTCAACAAGAGTCTCAAGTTCCTCACATACAATTTGATCTTACATTTTCTAATATTTGTTTTATTTCTTTACTGCCAATTATTTCTTTTCTTTTTTGCCTGCCCAGAAAAAAAAAAATAAGAAAAAAAGTACACATTCAGGGGTGTCCTAGATTGCCCTAATTCTGTGTCTTAAAATAAAAACCTGCTATTCAGATAGAAATGGTCACATGCAAGTTCTTTACCCTTTGAACTACGCTATGTTGAATTAAGGTCAGACATGTATTTAAGGTTTATTTTTTGAGCTCATGTACAAAAACAATCACACTGACTCCTTTCTTTAGCAGACTGTGGAAAAGCAGATTTGCTTGCAGGGCCATGGTGATTTTTATTGAGTGTAATTAGGTATTTTAGGAGCTCACTCTCAGGGAGAACATTCCAGTGTTGGTCCGAGGGTGCCAGCCAGCCATAATGTCTTTGTTTGCCCCTTAAAAGCAATCTGGGAGAAACATAACAAATCTCATTTGATATACATCCAACTGTTTGCATCCAAAATTGTTCCTGGAAAATAGAACAAACAGCATACTTTACTGTTTTCCATCACTAATGATGAACTGAAAACAGTTTACCGCTTGCATTTTTCTATTCATTTAATTTAGAAAAATATACAACGAGGTTCAAAAGTCCACAGTGAAAATCTGTGATTCAAAATAAAAAGTAAAATATTGTAAAAAATATAATACTCCCCACTATTTATGTATCATTAATGTCATTTGATCATGTGAACTCATTGTACAGACGAGTCAAATGTTCTTGCTTCAACTCAAGAAAATGATCATCAGCTTTTACACACACTTGTGAAGTTCACGCAGCTTGAATGTTGCTGCCATTAAAGCAAAAGTGAAACAAAACAAATAAACATTCAGAAAGTATTTAATTTGTCTATTTAAATTTTGACTCAACCTGTTATGATCAAATATATATATATATATATATATATATATATATATATTTCTTTATTTTTTTTAAGGGAAAAAAGCATTTTAGGACATTAGAACCCCACTGTAACTATCAACAGACTCCACAAAATTGTTTATGGAATCACTTTTGAAAGGGTGATGCCATACGGAGAGACTGTTATACAGGTTTGTCCTTTCACTAAATTGCCACACAATTTTAAACGGTGGAAATAACATACACAGACTCACCTCACAAACACACTATGAGCTCTTGTTCAGTCAGGTGAAATGGTCTGGAAAACATGAATTCTCTTCTGTCTTCTAATCGTACGGGTTTCCAAACGCCTCTTTTACTCGGTGAGCCTTTTCTATGGGGTGGGGGTTCCGTTCCCTGAAAATGACAGAACTCGTAATGCTGTTAACAAACAGGCTAATCAAGAGAAAGCCCCCGCTAGCCCATCAACAAAAGCCCCTCTAGTTAGCCAACTAGCCGCAATAACTCTAAGTGCTATTTGCGTGTGACTAAGAGACAGAGTAGTCTTGTTATTTAAACCCCAGTGGGAAAAGTGAGTGAATTTGGCCGTCTGGGATCCCTCAGGCTCAACCGGACTCTCTTCGCAGGGTCAGGATAGTCCCAGCTGGGTAAGAGAGCCCTACCTGCTAGGGGAATGCTCTTTTATATTAACCCCCTGCTGTTACTGAAACCCCGCTGGAGTTTAGAGTGATGTTGTGCTGATAGTATAAGACACAGCCCTGGTCCCTCGGTGCAGACTTGTCACACAGGATCACCACTGTCCCCGTCTGCCTGGAAAACGCTTCTGAAAGTCCTCCACAGGAGATGCTCTCTCTTGTCTGGAAAGATTAAATTCAAATGTCATTAGTGATAAGCAATGCTTTTTCATGTCATTGAACTGCTTGATATCAGATTGTCTCTCAGCGTGTCCTCGTTTACTTGCAATGTGTGTCAGTGTCTCTGTTTTAGTATAAAGTGATAATTTTAAAATTCAGTGTTTGTTTATTATAAACAGTATTTTGGCTAAGTTGAATATGGATTCAGCCCTTAACTCAATTTAACATATTTTACCATGTTTAACTCACAATGTCCCCCGCAAATCAGTGTAGAAAATGAGAAAAGGTCTATGCCTGCTCATAATTGAAGATCAGTCAACATGTAAGAAATAATTTTTATATATGAATGATTGATTTTATTAGCATTAGTGGCCAACCAGTGTGACTTTTTAAACGACTGATGTTGATATCTAGAGAGCAGGGTGGCTGATGTGCTTTGTATATATATTGCAAAGATATTTAGCCACACACACACACACACACACACACACATATATATATATATATATATATATATATATATAGATACACGTGTGTGTGTGTGTGTGGCTAAATATCTTTGCTCTATCACTAATTAGCATATGACTAAAGAAAAGAGCTTTGAAATTTGGGAATTCTGAGAGAAAATGTAATATTTTTTAAAAATATTACATCCCTAATCCTCATTCTATCCCGTTCCCAGTTCATCTATTTTTTGGCAGGCTGTTAGAGGTTTTGAGGAAAAGGGGGCTGGTTTAGAGGCTGGCTGTGTGGTGCTCCTGCAGATGACTGAGTTCTGATAGGCTGAAGAGTCGAATCACATGGAGTTTAGCACGACTCCTTACATGGGCTGCCCGGGGGTGAGAGCAACAGCATGGAGCAGCATATGCCCTACTGAGCGCACAAACACACACACACACACACTCACACTCGCGCCGTGAGAGAGTTCACAGACAGTCACTGGGCAGCTAACATGCTCTCATTCATGGGGGGTATAAAGCAGTGAATTTTGGAGATTAAAGCGTGTGAGAGTCTTTCCACTGATGAGTTGCACTGAAACAAGAGAGATGTCGGAGAGATGCAATATTTTAAGGACCATCACGGCAGCTTTGTGCTGTTTCTATCAGAAGAGCTCCGTTATTGGAGCCAAGGTGAGTGAAAGCTTCCTAAAACTACATCTGTATAAATTTGCATGTCAATTCTTGCATTTTTAGTAGCGTCTTATCCATGTGTAATATTTATTACATGTTTATATATACTATATTTTACTCTTCATATATTAACAACTTTATATTTTACTGTTAATATACATAATGTAACAATTTATGTAAACTAACAGTAAAATATAAAGAATTTAAATATAAAGTGTGAAATATTGTCAATACATAGATGTACAGTAGCATTACAGAAAGACTGATTCAAAAAATAGAGCAATTTATCAATAAAAAAGAGAGAGAGAGGTGCCGTAAAAAGCAGGTCTGCGTGTAGTTTTATTGTGGCAGTCTTTGGTCTGGGCTCTTCAGTATATGGCTTTTTTCATTATAGTAAGTGAAGGTGTCAGACACACATGCTCACTCACGAGTGTGTGTGTGTTTCTTCCCATTCACTTGTAATTGTTTAGTTGCACACCCTCCTCCTTGTCTTCAAAACCATTTAACCCATATTGATTGAAATCTTTTATCTCTGTGGCGGCTTGCAAATGGATCGTAAGTGTGAACGCGCGTGGTTTTGTTCACTCATCTAATGTGTCATGTGATAAGGACAGAGAGCTGCTCGAGTCGGGTTGAGGGAATTTATGGGGCGATATAAAATCGGTGGCCCTGCGTGTGGCTGTACATGTACATATGGAACCGATGTAGGAATGAAACAGAGCAGTCTTGCAGGTCATTCGACTATTCAAAATGTTTGGATTATCAATAGCAAGAATGTTCAAAGAGTTACATTACACCGAGACTACAGGGGGTTTTGGCCAACATGATGAAATGCATTAAATTTTCGGAGTTTATTGAGTGGATTGAAATATTTCTGTGAGTCTCCACAGATGTGGCTAATCGGTTCTCCTTGCTGCGATCCGATGGCACATGAACTATTGATCTACGGTCCATCAAAGCCTACAATAAAGCAGTGCATATCAGGAGAATCTGGAACAAACTAAAATGTCTGGAATTTTTTTTCTCATTTCCAAACTTATATTTCTAATATACTTCAGACTGCAAACAGATATTCACAGATCAAGAATGTCAAGGAGCTCATTCAATAGTCTTGCATTTAATAGCAGTATTCCTGTAGCTGAACCAGTAGAGCACCAAGGTCATGGGTTCGATTCCCAGGGAATGCATGAACCAAAAGATGAGTGGCTTGAATGCAGTGCAAGTTGCATTGGATAAAAGTATCAGCCAAATGCATAGATGTAATTTGCATGAAGACTGATGCCAGATTCCTGGCATGTTTATCGAAACAGTCTATATTTTCAAATTCTAAGGCTGAATTGGCCAGAAATAGCAGCATGTTTGTTATTTTTCAGCTCTGGCCAGACAACTCAGCGGACCCTCGCTCTCAGGGTTTGAACGTCCGTTAAAAATATTCGGGTCTGGTCCACATTTTTTGGGCTTGTTTCTAAAAATAGTGCTAGGTTGTCATGGAGACTTCCGGTCTTTTCAATGGTGTGGGGGGTCAGTGGGAGTTAGAGGGACAGAGAGGGCAGTGTTGGTGCCTCTTGTATGAATTCTTTCTTTCGAGAGGAAAGGCTTCATCTGGCAGCGAATGATTTCTAAGTAAATGTGGTGAAAACAACTTGGGGGCTTTATTTTGGTCAGTGTGAGGGGCAGCTGTGGGAAGGAGGGTGGTGTGTACTGTACAGTACAGCTGTGAATCTCTTCCACCCTGTAGAGGGCTGAAACCTAAACCGTGGCAAGTCTGCCTTAAATAAACAGGCTTACTTGTTTAGTAGAGGCGTAGATTAACACCTGACATGGACTCTAATGAATGTTAAATTAATCGTTCTTTTTAATGATTATGTGGTTTGCACCAATTTCATGAAGTGTTCATGAGTCTAAGGCCCTGTCCCAAATGGAACCCTAAAGGCTGATTTATACTTCCGCGTCAAAGGGAGCACCCTCCTGAAACCTAAAATGACAAATGGGACACCCAATGGTCTTTTGTCTTTAACGGACACGCGCAAGCTGTGGCCATTGTAAGTCCACAAGACCACAAGTGCACATAAAGTGTGCCATTTGGGACAAGGCCTAACTGTGTTTTGGACTTAATCTTTATGGCTTGTGTTTTTTGAGCATTCACAAGCAGTTTTAAGATGCTGTCAAGTTAAAAGTAGTCCAACTCTGAAACAGGTCTTAAGATCCCTGCATTTGGTTCCATCCAAACAGGCGGTATCAAAACCAGATTAATTATGTGTATATTAATCTGTTGTGCTTCCTTGTCGTTTGTTCATCATCTTCGCTTTATTTTTCGTGAAGCATTATTGTGCTGCACTTCTGCTATGATAGACATCCACTCTTGCATTGCGTGTGTAACGGAGGCCAGCCAGTGAGAGTTCTGCAGGCTGATGACTGCTAGGGAATGCGGTGTTTACTGTTTAGTGTCTTTGTCAGTGCACCCGCCTAGCATGCCACGATCATGGTTTGAGACCGACTGCAGGGTGAGCTTTAGAGGTGAGCAATGAAGAGAGGGGTGTGTTTGTTTGGGTTGATTTCAAATATCAACAATGTTCAGCAACGACTTTGAGAAATAACATACTGCACCTTTCATTGAAAATATTGTTTAACGCTAGTATTTAACTAACGTTAAATGAGGCACATACTTTTGAGAATGCATTCGAGTGATGACTAAAACGAATCAGTGAATCATTTTTGGAACACCCAGACAAATTATTAACTAAAATTTTTCTCTAACACTTCCTACACATTAGACATGCGACAGCGGTTCCCCCACACACTGACAGTGTAACACAGCAGAAGCATCATGGCTGTGGCAGAAATAGAAGCTCAGCAGAGCAGTGGGACAGCGGGAAGTCTCTCTGATTGACAGGCTGCTGGAGAGGTGCTGACACAGCCTGGCACAGTCACATCAGTCAACCCCAAAAGTTTCACCTCCTGTCAGTGCTAAACAAAAGAATATGTTTTTGGATCAGGGATGAAATCATCATTCCGCAAAGTTCTTAACGTGTTCATAAAAAAGGGGTGGGAAAACAATTGATGATTTTATCCATTAAAAAATGGGTATTACATATAAGAACAGAGCAAAATCTAATGTGCAACTGTGGAGGACAACTACCCTCCTGAAACACCACTGGTCTTTGAAGCAGAAAAAAAAAAAATATATATATTTTTGAGTCTCTTACATTTTGGTGAAAAATTAAATGTAAAAAAAAATTCTTACATTAATGTGTACTGAATCATTCAGAGCAAGAACATGAACAATAACTTTTAATTTAAACATCTTTTTTGTCACTTTGTCTCCTCTAATTCTACCTTCCTTGAGCATTCCATAGGACTTAAAGGCATTTTCCAAGCTCAAGGCTTTCTTTTCTTACAGGATGGCTTTCAGCAATTTTGAGTCCCCAGGACAAGCGTGTCCCCTACTTTTCCATCTTTTCCCCTTTTTGCTGTACAACAAATTGAGCACGCTCGAGGAAACATTAAAAAGAGGCCATGTTCAAAGTGATCCAGCACAGCTGCCCCAGGCCCTAATCTCCCCCTCTGCCCTCCTTACAAAGCCAGGGCTGGGCCATGCTGATTGGGACAAAACTGGAATGGAATGAGGGGGCTGGGGATCACAGATTGAAATGGAGAGAATGTGATTAAATGAGAAAGAGACCAAGAAGGGGGGGATCTAGCTTATTTCTAGACCCCAGTTGCCTACAGTCAATATATTAAAGCATTGGCATATTTTATCTCACAATACTGTATTGATATTCTCATAATATATTCTTGTGTATAAGTACATAAACACACACACACACACACTTTATAGAACAAAAAATAAATTTAGAAATTGGTGTGAGAATATTCGTAGTATTGTCAAGTAAAAAACTGATTTAGATGATAAATACATCATTGTTGAATCAGATATCAATTTAATACAGTAATAAATACAACAAATA